TTGATTTTATTCATGAGATTTTGTGATTTGGATAAGTTCCGAGCCTTGTGCACTTGTGGGACCCGTCTCACGAGTGCACGGCGTCTGTCGCGCCTCGGATTTGGGTTCTGGGGCGTGACAATAAAAAAAAAAAAATTTGGCTTTTCTTCATGAAAAGGAAGATGATGTGTTTCCATTATTTTTTGTATACAGATATGAGACGAGGTATGCGAGGTGCATCTTCTTCTAGACAGCAGGTTGATCCAGAGGGAGAACCACAGAGGTCATTTCGTCGTCTTATTCGGGGGCCTCGTAGGGCTGTTCCTACACAGCAACAGTTACCTAGCTTGAGCCAGCATCCCGCACAGCAACAGATTTTCAATTTGACTCAGCTTCCCACATAGCTGCAACAGGAGCAACCCACTGTTACTCAACCACCATTGGCCGATGACCAATTAACTGGTGATGATGCAACAATGGAGGAGGACACTGAAGAGCGTAATTTGGAGGCTGAGTTAGAGGTTGAGTATGCTGTGCTTGATCTTGAGTTAGATGCTCAGTTGAAGGAGGAGCTATCACGTGCTGTCCCGAAGACAGGACGTGGCATGGATAAAGGAGATGACGCTCCTGCAGACCCGAGTCAGAGGAAGGTGCTTAGCCTTAATCGCCGAGGCACGTTCAACCATGAGAGGTTTGGGAGGGCTGCCACAGTCATTTGGAAGTACTTGTATGATGAGCCAGTGCTTTTCTGGTCTAGCTGGCCTGAGGAAAAGAAGAGGGTTGCTTGGGAGAATTTTCAGGTATGAAAATTATAGAATAAAATGAAGTATTTTATGAGAATTTATTTAGATGCTATTACCTTACTCTTATGGTATTTGATATGGAAGTACAAGGTATATTTTATATGAGTTTTTATATTTTATTTATAATAGTGAAAAAAATGACAATTTAAGCAAAATTTTGCTATTTTTAAAGAAAAATCAAATAAATTATTAACATTTAATTTTTTTTTTCATTGTAGAGGACATATTATTGGGAAGAGGATGATGCTCGTGTGTATAAAGTCTGAAGATTACATTGTCGAAACCGTTTTCGAGACGAGTTTCATCGAGCTCGAAAGGCGTGGGTCAGGAACAAGAAGTTGCCCGAGTTCATGCATAAAATGACAATTTAAGGAAAATTTTTCTATTTTTAAAGAAAAATCAAATAAATTATTAACATTTAATTTTTTTTTTCATTGTAGAGGACATATTATTGGGAAGAGGATGATGCTCGTGTGTATAAAGTCTGAAGATTACATTGTCGAAACCGTTTTCGAGACGAGTTTCATCGAGCTCGAAAGGCGTGGGTCAGGAACAAGAAGTTGCCCGAGTTCATGCATAAGGATACTTTTAAAATTTTGTTGGCAAAATGGAGGAGTCCAAAATATATTGCACTCCAGGAAAGAGGTCGAGAAAACCGATCAAAGGGTGATCGTGTGACCCACACAACTGGATGCCTTTCTATTGGGATCCATGAGGATCGACTGGTTAGTAAGATACACTTACATAAAGTCTGGACATATATAACTTTTTTTTACCATAAAATGGAAATGTTATTAATTTTATTGATATTTTAATAGGCGGCTAAAAGAGGAGGAGTTAGGCCGACACCGTTAGAGTCGTACTTGTTGACTCACACGACTCGCCGACCTGATGCTCCAGAAGATGCCCCACCCGCTTGGATATGTCTACAGGCTGAGTAGACATATGTAAGAATCTGATTCTTTTATGATATTAATTTTATTTATTTTTAATGTCATATTGCCATAAAAGAAGAAAAGTGATACAATTTTTTTTCCACTGTATCCAATAAATAATTATTTTTCATTTGATTTCCCATTATCACTTGAAATTACTAACTAATGAAAATTTTAATTTTGAAACAGAACGATGCTCACCAAAAATATGTGGAGAAGCATGGGCCAGACAAGGATTCATGGCCAGAATGGGATCCACTTATCTGGAAGAAGGTGGTTGGACCTCCTAAAAAGGGTCAGATGAGAGGGATGTCTACATTACAAGATCCAGCAAAGC